AATTAAAAATGTCTTGCTGTCATAGCTACGGTAGGTTGCAAGATCATATTCCAAGTATAGATTCAACACTCCACACCTCCAATTTTATCATTAAACTTAATTTCTCGTTTAAAATGGATTTGCTACAAAGAATCAATGGCCTTAACGTTTTTGAAAACATGGAAACTTTATTCTACAATGGATTGCTTCTTCCAGTGTGAAATAAATACTACTCTGGAACATAGGGTTTGGTTTTCCTTCAAAGTTGTAGCAAGCTGCAATCCCATGTAGAGCTTACCAGACATCAAACATGACCTTTAACTGCATTTATCATAACCTATTCTTTTTTCAAGGATACCATCATAGAGTAGAGAGATGCTTGTGAAATATTATTAAAGTTATGTAACTATTTCCTCACTTACTGTGTATGTCTACCCCTAGAGGTTACCTGACATAGAGATTGGATTCATTATCCACTGTGACTGCACTTATTACTCCTTGAACAAAACTAGAAAGTCTCTATCTGCACGCTGACCTATACTTACCCTACATATAATGTTGTGTTTATAGAGTAATCTCATTTTTATGTTACTAGTAAAAGAGAATGTCAAAATGAAAGCTAATTTGTTATATTTTACACTTGTTTAAAAGCAACTTGACTCTATTGTCTCTGAAAAAAACTAATATAGAAAAGTGATGAAATAAATACATAATCTATCAAGTTCACTTTTTCACCAACCTCCCATTTTAGCAATTTCCAAGTTTCTAAGTCCAGTGCTGCAAGAAGGGAAACATTCTACTTGATTCCAAATTGGGAATCAGATTATTTAACAACCTGGTTATATCATCTTATGTGTCTTTTTGCTGATGATACTAAGATATGTAACAGGGTTGATATTCCAGGAGGGATAAGCCAAATGGCAAATGATTTAGGTAAACTAGAAAAATGGTCAGAGTTGTGTCAACCGACATTTAATGTGGATAAAGTGCAAGATAATGCATCTTGGACGTAAAAATACCAAGGGCAGAGTACAGAATATTTGATAGAGTACTAACCTCAAAAGAAGAGGGATTTAGGAGTGATTATTTCTGATAACTTAAAGGTAGGCAGACAATGTAATAGAGCAGCAGGAAATGCTAGCAGAGTGCTTGGTTGTATAGGGAAAGGTATTAGCAGTAGAAAGAGGGAAGTGCTCATGCCATTGTACAGAACACGGGTGAGACCTCACTTGGAGTATTGTACGCAGTACTGGAGACCGTATCTCCAGAAGGATATTGATACTTTAGAGAGAGTTCAGAGAAGGGCTACTAAACTGGTTCATGGATTGCAGGATAAAACTTACAAGGAAAGGTTAAAGGAACTTAACATGCATAGCTTGGAGAAAAGACGAGATGGGGATATGATAGAAGCATTTAAATACATAAAGGGAATCAACACAGCAAAGGAGGAGACTATAATTAAAAGAAGAAAAACTACCCCAACAAGAGGGCATAGTCTTAAATTAGAGGGGCAAAGGTTTAAAAATATCTGGGGGGGTGGAGCTTGCCAGCGGGACAAGACGGACGCCATATCTGTCTGCTCCCAACAATTGTGAAATCTATCACCACATACCACAACATGCGAGTACATCACACTGCAGAAAACACCACCATCCCAACCAGGGGGAATTTCTGCATCGATTAATGCCTTTCCGGTATCCCGCCGGGTGACCCACGCCGAAACTCAAGGCTGCGGCCTACCCCCAGCCACCACACTTCTCCCTGGAGTCACTCCTGGGCAGCTCCCTGACACATAGTGAACTCGGGAACACCCGACACTCACTCCCTCCATCCCCGGAGCGCATCATGGGCTGACGGTCTCAGAAGCCCGAAAGCAGGGATATAGGAGTCATGCTCCAAAAAGCCTTGCAAACAAAATCTATCCCGACATGGGACCACCCAGAAATGGCCACAAGTACACAGCAGGCTGTGGAAGCTCAAGGATCTGGGCCCAATCAGACAGCTGAAGCAGCTCAACAGCCTCTCCAGGTGCTCACAAGGGGGTCAGCGCCAGCAACAAAAGACGACCTTAGGGCCTCGCTGACAGATCTTCACAGAATGATGGCAGCAGACCAAGCAACGCAACACACGCTTCATGCCCGGTACATCATTCTCACTGTCACATTCACATGACCACACTACCGACATGTTACAGTCTGTTAGGACTTTGCTTTAAAAAAAAAAAGTGCGACTTCCTGCTGTACCAAGTACTTTAACCCACTGTTTTAAAATGATTTCTATCCTTATAATCTCTTGGTCACATTGACACTATTGTTATTGCTTGCACTGAAAAATAAAGAATAAAAAAAAATATATCTGGAAGTATTACTTTACTAAGAGGGTAGTGGATGCATGGTAGAGCCTTCCAGCTGAAGTGGTAGAGATTAGCACAGTAAAGGCGTTTAAGCATTCGTGGGATATGCATAAGGCTATCCTAACTATAAGATAAGACCAGGGACTAATAAAAGTATTTTTAAAAATTGGGCAGACTAGATGGGCTGAATGGTTCTTATCTTCTGTCGCATTCTATGTTTCTATATTTCTATGTTTCTATCATGTATATTAGCTATCATAGTCCTGAATATCCAACCACAGGTGGCTTTCTACTTAGGCAATTTAGATAGCCAGCTAAAGTCTTGCACTCACTGGGGCCTCGCTGCCACCTAACTCTCCTGACTGGAGAGCAGGGCCTGTAGTAGGGTGCTTGTATATGTATGTTTGTTAGTGTGTGTATGTGTGTGTATGTGTGAGACTGCTGGTGTTTGTGTGCCTGGCAGTGGGTATGTATGTTTGCCTCTTCATGGCTGAAGGAATGTGTGGTTATGTTTGTCAGTGTGTCTGGCATCGAGAATCACTGTGTGAGTGTATGTCTATCTGGTAGTTTGTATTTGGGTATGTGTATCCACATGGGTGTGTACCTCATGTTCAAGATCAGCTAAGGCCTCACAAAGTGTAGAGCTACCTCTGTATCCCACTTTGTCAAATGTATCTGGTGCTTTTTTAATCTAGTAAATCTATTAAAAAAATGTGTATTCAACCTTTTCTTCTGCTGTAAAGGCAATCTTCAATAGCTCATTTTATTTTACAGTCCTGTTGTAAACATGTAGCTTTTTTTTTTTGCATGTCCTCCAGTGCCAAGATATCCATTTAAAATGAGTGTCCAGAATGACATTACATTAATATTATTATTATTATTGTTATTACTATTATTAAATTGTACAGAGAAACATACAATACCAAAACCATTCGACTGCATAATGGGCCATTCAGATGCAAAATCTGGACATTGTTGATGGAATTCATCAATGTCCAGATTTTGTAAATCAGGCCCATGAACAGCTCTGAAATTGGTCCAGATTTCAGCTGGGCCGAACTCTGGTGGATAGATGAAGTTCTGGCCTGAAAGTGGCAAATCCAGGCAGGTAGAGTTCAAAGACATTTTCAAATTATTTACCCACTGGCAGCATGATCAACCAGCAGACAAATAGTTAAGAACCCTCTGCAGACCAAGTTTTCTTAACTTTTCAAGAGTTAATTATTTGTCAGTTGGCTAGTGCTTGCAAGGCAGCTGCCACATGGAAAATGTAAAATAATAAAAGTTAATATTTAAAAATTCTATGGCGATCACTAAGACCCCCATACTATTGTAATGGAGGCATATTTGCTAAGCATTAAAAAATTAAAGGCCCCATCCAACATCCAACATCTTGAATTCTTTCTCATGTTCCTCAAATCAATCCTGAGCATTTTTTGCAGTTCGACAGGGTGCATTATCCGTCTGATAGAGGTCACTGGCATCAGGGAACATCATTACCATAAAGGAATGTAAGTGATCTGAAACAATCTATAGGTTGGTGGTATGTGTCAAAGTAATATCCACATGAATGCCAGGACCCAAAGTTTCCTGGCAGAACACTGCCTCTGTCAGCCAGCCTCCTTCCCATAGTGCATGCTGCTGCCATCTTTTCCCCAGGTAAACTGAACACCCACACCCAACCATCCACCTGATCTAAAAGAAAGTGTGATTCATCAGGCAAGGCATCTTTCTTTGTCCCTATTGAAGGTGCTTTGGCTAGTGGACATGGGTCGACACAGCCCCATATGCAGCACTCTGTGTTCTGACATTTTTCATGGCCAGCATTATGTTTTTCAGCAATTTGAGCTACTGTAGCTCTACTATGTGATTGGACCAGACAGACTAGCCAACACTCCAAACGTGCATCAATGAGCATGGGCACACTTGACATTGAAATTGAGTCACCAGTTGTCCTTTATTGCATTACTTTTGGTAAGTACAAATCACTGCATACTGGGAACACCCCATATGACTTGTCATTTTGAAGATACTCTGAACCATTCATCTAGCCAGCACTATTTGTCCCTTATCAAAGCCAGATATTTTTGCTTGCCAATTTTTCCGGTTTCCAACACATGAAAGTCAAGAACCGACTGTTTACTTGATGCCTAACATATCCCACCCCTTGACACATTCCATTGTACCAATATAATCAACATTATTCACTTCACCTGTCAGTGGTTTTAATATTGAGTCTGATCAGTATAAATGCTAATATTAATCATGTACTGTGTCATCAGAATGTGAGAGCAGCGTAGCACGCCCTGCGAATCGCAGCCCCCTGGCTTTTCATCCATGGTGTACCTGACAACCCAGGAAGTCCCCTAGTGCCAATTCAACCTGTCTGGGCCATGTGATTGTAATTGTATTAATTACAATTTGAGGGACATGCCTGGGGGACCCAGGCAGAAAGTCCAGAAAATTTAATTTGCAAGCCCTATTTGTAACCCTGTATCTTTCCAAAACACCATAAAACATGTACATGGAGGTTGCTGTTGTACTTGGGAGGCTTAGTTGAACACAAATATAAGTGTTTCGAAACAGTAACATGTAGCACGATGATATCATTAGTGAAAGGACCATAGGCGTGCGCAGCCTATTGCATTAGGGTGTGCACCCTAAAGCACAAACACACGCCACGCGTGTGTGTGTGTGTGTATGTATCTATATATATATATATATATATATACATATATATATATATATATATAAACACACACACATACACACACACACACTGCTGTGTGTGCTGTTAGTGTGCTGTGTGCTGTTAGTGTGATGTGTGTGTGAGGGTGCGTGTTTGTGACTGTGCTGTTTGTGTGTGAGGGTGTTTGTGTGTGTATGTTTGTCCTGTGAGGGTGCTGTTTGTGAGGGTGCTGTTAGTGTGCTGTGTGTGAGGGTGTTGTGTTTTTTTTAAAGGTGCTGTGTGTGTTTGTGAGGGTGCGGTTAGTGTACTGTGTGTGTGTGTGAGCTGTATGTGTGTAGGTGCTGTATGTGTGTGTGCTGTATGTTTGGAGGGATTTGGCAGATTAGTAAATCCTTGCTGCCATGTGCCATCCCTGGTGGTCCAGTGGAGAGTGAACTCTAGCCTGCGGGGCTAGAGTTAACTCTCGCGAGATCTGAGCGTTGCCGCAGCAACGCTCAGATATCGCGAGAGGAACCTGGCGGAGCTTCTGTCTAGAGCTCCCTGGGTCCTCTACTGCCTCCCTCCATGCTGCTGTGGGCCGGTGAGGTAGATCTTTGGTCTCCCCGCCGGCCCATGAAGGCTTAGAGCAGAGCCGGCACTCAGATAGCGCCGGCTCTGCGTGTGTGTGTGTGTGTATATATATATATATATATATATATATACGTACACACACACACACACTGACAGACACACACACACATACATACTCACAGACACACACATACACTCACAGACACACACTCACACACACACTCACAGACACACACACATACATACTCACAGACACACACTCACACTCACAGAAACACACATACTCACAGACACATACACACACACACACACACTCACAGACACACACACACACACTCACAGACACACACACTGACACACACACATACTCACACACACACTCACAGACACACATACTGACACACACACACACACTCACAGACACACACACATACTCACAGACACACACTCACACACACTGACACACACACATACTCACACACACAAATTATTATATTTTAATTTTAAAAAACAATGTCCACCCAGCCTCCTACCTGGAGTGCTGGTGGACTTTTCCCTGGGGTCCAGTGGGGGCGGGCGCCTCTCTGCAGCTCAGCGCGCGGCGAGGGAGCTCTCTGCTGTCTGCTCTCTGCTCCCTCTCACCGCGCGGGCTGTCTGCTGGAGCTGGGAGCCGGAATATGACATCAGCGCGCGGCAAGAGGGAGCAGAGAGCAGACAGCAGAGAGCTCCCTCGCCGCGCGCTGAGTGGGGGGGAGGGGGGAATCCATCACCTCTTGCCCTCCCCATGACAGGGGCAAGAGGTGAAACAGGGGGCACTGAGTGCCTGCAGGAACAGCGTTCCTGCTCAAAAAAAGGACTCAAACCATAGGCGTGCCACGGGGCTTAGGGTGTGCCCAGGCACACCCGGCACACCCCGTGCGCACGCCTATGGAAAGGACCATTTATGTGTGAAAAATATGAACAAGGTGCTAACTTTGGCCAGGTTTGTGACTAAGTGGCTACTACAAAAGGACACAAAAATGTACATTCCCCATTTTGAACACAAAATGGAAAAGTGGTAAGCCCTATATTTAACCCTGTAACTTTCTAAAATTCCATAAAACCTGTACATGGGAGGTACAACGAGACATTGCTGAACACAAATATGTCTATTTTATTGCAGTGAAAGCTAACAGTATAATGACAGTTAAAATGCCGTGCAGAACTTGTAAAATAACAATTTCTTAATTTCTAAAACATTTTTAGATTTTATCATATTAAGTTATGTTTCATATATAAATATTTGATGTGAAATGAAAGCCCTGTATCTCCTGAACAAAATTATATGTAATACGTGTGGGTGCACTTAATGTGAAAGAGGTAAATTATGGTTGAACAACATATTGCTCGTTTTTTTTTTGTTTTTTTTATCAGACCTGTATAAATGCCTCATTTCCTAAGGGGTTAAATGTCTAGAAATATTACGGTTGTTACTCATTCCTGATTTAATATACCATTAGGATGCCAAAGTAGCTGTGAGAATGTAAAAATCTCAGATTGATTTTTTTATGTTCTTATTTATTATTTAATGAAATAGGGTATAAATGTAATTTAGCTTATTATCTAAAACATTATGGAGTAAAGGAACAATAGTATTTCCATAATAAGGTGATTCCAGACATAGCTGTTCCTTCATGTATCCTGATCTCCAAGACTAAGACTGAAGAAAATTCTGTAATATTATGATAGGATCATTCTTGGACAAGTCAATTTCTTCTGAACTCTGACAGGCAACCGTCTGTATCCTCCTGGAAACCGAGGAAAAAATTGTCTTCCAATATGCCTTCCATTTTTTATTCAAAGGAAAAGGAGGTTCCCAGCGTCTCAGCCGATCACATTACATATCACTGGAAAGCCCAGGATGTTCTCTTTACAATACAGCAGAGATTGATAGAGTAGCTCAAAAGAATAAAAGGAGATGCAAGTGAAAGTAATGTCCAGTACAGAGAACACAAGTTAATGGGTTGGGTCTCAGGAAGATATGGCAAATATGTGTTAAATTGTATGTACTACAAAAGTGGAAACTGCACAATACAACCAGCCTGCCTGACACATGGGACTCCTGGATTAGCATGTGACTGGCAATCTATCACTTCATCATTCTCATCCACGTGCATGACTATTTCCAGCGTCGAGCCATTCTTTGCCATGTGAAGTCTGCACAAATGTCAGTGTATTTTTCAACAACTAATTCACATTCATAAAAGGAAGCAATTCCCTTATTTTATCATCACGGTGGAAATATTTAAACCTTTAAACATTTTAGTTCTTTATTTGCAAAGTTATAATGTTACAGAATGACCAGAACCGTTAATGAAGGCAGATTTAACACCGTTTGACTTCTACAAGAATTAAGAAATGCCATCTGTCCGAAATGCAAATCTGCACTATTAAGGTTCCAATTATAATAAACATAATTGAAAATATAAGGCATGTTGATAACATTGGAAGAAAAAAAAAACCTGTAATTCTCTAACTACTTGCAAACATATTTCTTAAGCTGAATTTATGATGCCATAAAATTACATTTAGTTATATACATATATATATATATATATATATATATATATATATATATATATATATATATATATATATATATATATATATATATATATATATATATATATACATACATATATATATATATATATATATGTATCTTATTATATAAAACTCTCGAAAGCTTGTCTTTGAAACATTGTTAGTCCAATAAAAAAGGTATCATTGCATACTGCAATACTCTGGTATGTTGACATCTTGTCTACTGGACTAATACGGCTAATCTAATCTACGCTATATATATACACATCAAGAGACAATTTTAGCCATATATATAGAGAGAGAGAGACAAACAGGTAGATAGATAGATAGATAGATAGATAGATTGACAGAGACTCATGTCTCAGCTAACTTTTAATATAATGAAATGAATGAATATATAAAAACGTCCAGAAGGTCAAAAGAAGCAGGACATTTTAAATGTGATGATTGAAATTAAATGGTCTTAGCTTGTTCATATTGTTGTTGCAACTATAAGAGAGATTACCTTGCTAATAGATAAGAATAATCTCATCATGTGACTGTCATGAACACATTCAGAAAAGATCAATTAATCTCTCTACTGACAAGTTGTTTTGTTTTAAAAATAGCAAAGCGTTAATTTGAAACATAGGATAAGCAGCTAAAGCTTAAAATGTTGGATAAATCATACATTTCATGCATTAGTAACAGTTAACAGTTACCTAAAAAGCTAAAATTATGTAAATTCACACAATCTACTTTTTACATTTTTTTGTACATCTTTCACTGAATTATTGATGATTTACTGATGAGATAGCTTGTTTTAGAAATTGTATTGCAATCATTTTTTCTAGTAATGTTTAATAGAGGGTATTAAATATTAGCATTTATCACAGGCCACGGAGGAGGATATCCTCAACCTGAGACAGGAGGTAACAGGCTTAAAAGAAACGGTACAACTAATGACAACCCACTCTATCTTGACAACAAGGATTGATCTGGCTGAAAATTGTAACAGACGCACTAATCTTAAACTTCGGGGATTACCGAAATCCATCAGCATGACATAACTGCTCCACTACCTTCACCGCCTCACTAACACGCTTCTCGTGCACACTCAGGCAAAAAAGATTGAATTCTACTGAATCATTTAATCAAGAAGCCTAAGCAGGCACTGACCACAGCTTCTCAGGATGTCATTATCCGATGCCAATCCGTGACAGACAAAAAAACCTATACTGGCCGCGGTTCAAGGAAAAACTACATTTACATTTGAGTAATACCAACTCTCCTTCTATCAAGACCTGACATGCAAAACCTTACTATGGTGTCGGTCACTGAGCCCAGTGACACACCAACTACGTGAAGCCGGTATCGACTACAGGTGGACACTGCCCAAAGCCCTAACAGTAAACAAAGAGGGCACCGCATTCAAGCTCTGGGGTTCTCCCCAAGACCCAGGCAACCAGCAACCTCCTCAGCCTCACCTTCCTGGTACCTGGAAAAAGTAAGACCCTTTGTCCCCTGAGGTGGAGAAGAACGAGGGGCACCGACTTAAATTACCTATTGGTCACAAGCATTCTGTTATATTGTATTATTTTATTTTTGTTTTCTATTTAGCTTTTATTTTGCTTAACACACAACACCACCTTCTGCTCATCAAACCTAGTCAGGTACACAACCTACCCTCCAAGATTTTATATGCCATAATGCAGGCTCTTAATAGCCACAAGAGTTATGAGCTCTCCCATATTATTACTTCCCCCCTCTGTGTCCACTGATGGTTGGGGTTCATGGTCTTATGGTACTCAAGCATATACCTCCATTTAGGTTCACAAATAATGCATGGCACTAAATACAAGCATATACTTCTTATGCACCCACTCGACTGAGCTGACACTCTTAACAAACACCTACACACTTCTCATTCACCCCTAGCGAGATTACTCCACCATGTAAATGTACTCAAGACCA